TACTTAGAAGTACAAATTGATTTGTGCCTATTGAGACTTGATGTATGACTAAAAGTCTTAGTACATACATCACACGTGTATGGCTTTTCACCAGTGTGTGTCCTAATATGAACAACAAGATGGTATTTATTAGTAAAACGCATTTTACACACATCACACTTGTAGGGCTTTTCGCCAGTGTGTGTTCTCACGTGATTGACAAGAGTGCCTTTCTCCGTAAAACGCATAGGACAGCGGTCACAGCTAAATGGTTTTTCACCAGTGTGGTACATTTTATGCCTCTTAAGATGACTCGCACATGCAAAACTCTTCTCACAGACTTTGCATTTAAAGGCCCCTCCGGTGCCCCCGCGCGAGTTCGTCTGCAGAGCGCCACTGGGATTGCTTTTACTTTCGCTCCCGCTGCTGGTGTACTTCCGGCCGAGCTGCTTCTTCCGCAGCACCCGCGAGGCCTTCTGGTCGCCCGGCTGTTGGTTCTGCACCGGCTGAGCGTCGCGGGTTCGATACCGAACGGTAGAAGCATCCTGCCTAGTTGCGTCGCCGGGAGGAGGCGCCACTTCTTCATCGCGCAGCTCGGGCAGTACCTCGCCGTCCCCAGGGCCGCACCTCGCCGCCTCCTTCGCAGGGCACTGCTCGTCCTGCATCGAGAAGCACGCCGACACCACCAGCCCCAGCTGCTCGTCCTCTTGTTTGAGCTCGTCCAGCTCGGGGCCCTCGTCGACGGACACCTCACCAGGAGCCTCCGGGAGGGACGCCAAGACAGAGGAGCTGCGCTCGCCGCCTGCAACAAGAGCACCGCGTCAGACAGCTGTTTAACCAAGGTACAAAAAGGGCAACAGGCGGCATACAAGGTAAGAATAAAAAAACTGAAACGTCGTTGGATTGACAATTTCAGTGAACCATCGTTTTTATTCGTTTTACATTTAACAAAGACAAATGAATGAATTAGAATCTTTCCTGGAAATCTGCCTCATCTGGCATCGGAGTCAAAATACTTAAGAAGAAATGCATTCAAATAAAAATACAAGTTGTTTTGTGTGTATTAAGATTTGATTTCTGACTAAAAGCCTTGTTACACACATCACACTTGTATGGCTTTTCACCAGTGTGTGCTCTCATGTGAACGACAAGATTACATTTTTTAGTGAAACACATTTTGCATATGTCACACTTAAATGGCTTTTCACCAGTGTGGGTCCTCATGTGAGCAACAAGCGTGCCTTTCTCAGTAAAACGCATTCTGCATGCGTCACACTCGAATGGCTTTTCACCAGTGTGTGTCCTCATGTGAATGATAAGGGTGCCTTTCTGAGTAAAACGCATTTTACATACGTCACACTTGTACGGCTTTTCGCCAGTATGTAATCTCATGTGCTTGACAAGAGTGCCTTTCCTAGTAAAACGCATACTACATACATCACACTTGAATGGCTTTTCACCAGTGTGTGTCCTCATGTGCTTGACAAGAGTTCCCTTCTCAGTAAAACACATTGCACACAGGTCACAGCTAAATGGTTTTTCACCAGTGTGGTACATTTTGTGCGTCTTTAGATGCCTAGCCCATGCAAAACTCTTCTCGCAGACTTCGCATTTGAAGGCCCCTCCGGTGCGCCCGCGCGAGTTCGCCTGCAGAGCGCCACTGGGATTGCTTCTACTTCCGCTCCCGCTGCCGGTGTACTTCCGGCCGAGCTTCTTCTTCCGCAGCACCCGCGAGGCCTTCTGGTCGTCCTGCTGTTTGTTCTGCGCCGGCTGAGCGTCGCTGGTTCCACACCGGACGGTAGAGCCGCCCTGCCTGGTTGCGTCGCCGGAACGAGGCGCCACTTCCTCGTCGCGCTGCTCGGGCTGCACCTCGCCGTCCCTAGGGCCGCCTCCACTGGTCGACCCGTCCACCCCTTGGCACTGATCGTACTGCAGCGAGAAGCACGCCGTCACCACCAGCCCCATCTGCTCGTCCTCTTGTTTCAGCTCGTCCAGCTCGGGGTCCTCGTCGACGGTGACATCTCCAGGATCCTCGCCTGAGGACGTCTCACTAGAGCAGTTGCGCTCGCCGCCTGCAACAAGAGCACCGCGTCAGACGCCGTCGTCGTCACGTGAGTTCCGCCCCACCACCAGGACCACCAGCATGCGCGTGCGACCCCAACGTCGTCCGCCGCGGCGTATTGCGACGAGCAGGGGACGGCGCTCTTCTAGAGGGCTCAGGCGGAGCACTTCACTTCAGCGCGGCACGGAGCCGTCCGGGCCGCACCAGCAGTGGGTCCTGCTGGCCCCGCGGGACCGTGGCAGTAGAGGTGCAGGCGGCACCGCCGGCTGACCGTCCTGCTTCGGCTCGACGCGGTGGCTGCCTCAGGGTCCTAATCGAACGTCACCCGCTGCTGAGCGAGGAGGGGCATCGCCTGCAGCAGGAGCACCGCGTCATCACAACCTGCAGCGGAAAGGGGCATTAAGTCGAAGTCCATGAACGACATGACTGAATGAGGATGGAAGTGCAATCAGGAGTAGCTGTCCCCTGGGTCGAATTTTTAGCAGATGATACTTCCAGTATCACTACTTGTACAACAGCTATATGGGTAGCGTTCACGATGGCCAAGATCCACTATTATCAACAATAATTCAACATCACCCTTTTAAATAATATTTTTATTAGGAGGAGGGGGGGCAGATGGGTAGCGTTGACGATGGTCACTGAGGCCCAGTATTGTCAACAATACTGAGCCAAGGCCTAGTATTGTCAACAATACTGAGCCAAGGCCTAGTATTGTCAACAATACTGAGCCAAGGCCTAGTATTGTCAACATTACTGAGCCAAGGCCCAGTATTGTTAACAATACTGAGTCAAGGCCCAGTATTGTCAACAATACTAAGCTAAGGCCAAGTATTGCCAACAATACTGCGCCATTACCCTTTTAAATAATATTATTAGTAAGAGGGGGGCAGATGGGTAGCGTTGACGATGGTCACTGAGGCCCAGTATTGTCACCCTTGTAAATAATATTATTAGTAGGAGGAGGGGGGGGCAGATGGGTAGCGTTGACGATGGTCACTGAGGCCCAGTATTGTGAACAATACTGAGCCAAGGTCCAGTATTGTCAACAATACTGAGCCAAGGCACAGTATTGTCAACAATACTGAGCCATAACCCTTTTCTAATAATATTATTATTAGGAGGAGCGGGGTCAGATGGGTAGCGTTGACGATGGTCACCAAGGCCCAGTATTGTCAACAATACTGAGCCAAGGCCCAGTATCGTCAACAATACTGGCGGGGTAAGATGAGTAGCGTTGATGATGGTCACCGATGACCACACTCTGGCTACCAACCAGCAGTATTTTTTACATGTTAAAAACTGAAACGTAAATTCATCAGAAGATAAGGCCGTATCATCTGCTTCCACGTAAGCGCGAGCTTAGGTTTTTTTTATTAAATTGACAAAGTACAACTCAAAAAAGCATAAGCAAACATAATCGAAGCAAATAATAAAGATCTATGTACAATATCTTTTGTGATTTCTGAGGTAGGATTTATCACTAAAACGTTTATCACACCCATCACACTGATACGGCTTTTCGCCAGTATGTAATCTCATGTGCCTAACAAGACTGCCTTTCTCGGT